AAGAAGATAAATATAGATAAAGTAGAATTAAAATAGAATAGAAAGTGTTAGAGCTAGAGGGTCAAATATAGGTGGATCAGATGTGTTTTTAGTGATTTACACAACATCAAAAATCAGGAAATAGGTTACAGGATGATATGGAACCTTTAAAAGGTCATGTCTGAAAAAAATATTGCATTTATTTGCAAAAGTTGTGCGGTCTTCTTTACATTTGTTTGCTAAATGTTTTTTTAAATAAAGAATAAATAAAAAAAGATAAATATAGATAAAGTAGAATTAAAATAGAATAGAAAGTGTTAGAGTTAGAGGGTCAAATAAAGGTGGAACAGATGTGTTTTTAGTGATTTACACAACATCAAAAATCAGGAAATAGGATGATATGGAACCTTAAAAAGGTCATGTCATGTCTGAAAAAAATATTGCATTTATTTGCAAAAGTCGTGCGGTCTTCTTTACATTTGTTTGCTAAAACCCTAAAACGAATTCCAACATACACTGAAAAAGTTTTACTTTGTAACTTTTACTTTTCTTTTAGAAATCGCTAGTAAATTTTACAAATAATCACAAAAAAAATCGGCAAGTAACTTTAATTGAACTGAATTAAATGTGAAATTAAACATGAATTAAAATGTAAATAAACATGAAAGTTAGAAGTAGGACGACTATTTTCTTGTAAAACTTACGCCAATAATCTTTGTTTCAATTACAACTTCAAAAAATAATTTTTGCCATGTTATAGTTAGTTATCGCTTATTTTCAGGCAGGTTTATTTTTATTTTTTTTGATGTTGATAATGATGTTGAAATGTTGATATGCTGATTTCTATAAGAGGGTGACAAACCAACTAACCAACAAAATACCACAGAAATAACAATTCGTCATTGCTTAGGAATCCTTTTGCTGTACTAATGTTTGAATTTTTGTTTTCTCACCAAAATGATGCCACTTCCTGCATGATGATGTCATCTGCTTTCCTTAAAAGGAATTTACAAAAAAAAAAAAAATTATACATTTATAAATAAAAAACGATAAATTAAAACAACACTCCCAATGAAAATTTTAATCAGAAAAAAATATATATTTTCTTAATAAACTGCCTGTTTAATTTTGGAATTTAGTACTTGAAATCATGACAATGTGTTATCTTAATCGTGATATTATGATCAAAGAAAACTAATTCGTTTCTTTTAAGAGTGTCTTTAAAAATGTTTTATCTCATATTAAATATGAAGAAAACTTCATTTGCATACTGCATAATAGGTTTACAAAAAAAAATAAAATTATACATTTATAAATAAAAAACGATAAATTAAAACAACACTCCCAATGAAAATTTTTATCAGAAAAAAAAATATATTTTCTTAATAAACTGCCTGTTTAATTTTGGAATTTAGTACTTGAAATCATGACAATGTGTTATCTTAATCGTGATATTATGATCAAAGAAAACTAATTCGTTTCTTTTAAGAGTGTCTTTAAAAATGTTTTATCTCATATTAAATATGAAGAAAACTTCATTTGCATACTGCATAATAGGAATGATCCAGCTCTGTCCAGATGGGAAATTATTTTTTTTTAAATTCAGGAGCAGATAAACAAAATCACCTCCAGCTACCAGTTACACATTATTTTTCTAGAGTCTCTTCCATGTATTGTAGCATAATGTTAGCCTTTACTGACAAACTACACATTCACTTATAATTAGAAGGGCTTAGAAACACGGCTTAGTTCAGGGCAAACCTTAACTAACTAAAAATAAATAAATAATAATCATAATGTAACCACTACTCACATATAGTACATATAATACATGAATTCCACCATTGTTGTGCTAGAAGTTACATATGTACTGTAGTGGATTGTAACTTTATTTACACATCAAAGTTTGTCATAGTTGTGAAAGCTAAAACGATTTCCTCCTAAATGTCCTATAATGAATAATTAATGTATGTAAATGTTTCATGGTAGGATTTTACAGGTAAAGAATGTACTGCGGCTTTATGTGTTGGTATGTTAAAGACGGTGAAGGGTTTTGCGTATCGAAACACAGGGTCGGTGCCGAAGTATCGTAAACGAAACCGGACGAACAATGTAACTGCCTATTGATAAAGAAGGAACGTTCATACTTGAAGAAATATAATAGTGTTTAGTCATTAAAGTGTAGATTATCTTTAGTTTACCAAAGCAATATATAGATGATCACATGCATAAGATACCATGATTGTTCTTTTTCGGTGGTATTGGCGAAATTGTTGTTAACTATTGTTAGCTGCTGAAAACCAAATGGCTGGTTCATTTGGTTCTTGCTGTCTAAATGCCTTTGATCTTGCTGGTCATTATCTTTAATGTTGGTTGTTTGTTTATTTATGTATTTCATTCATTAAAAAAAAAAAAGGAAAATTGTTGAATAAATGATTGATTTTACTTCGTATCGAGTAATTGATTTTTCTTGTACAATTACATTAGTTTAATTCAATGATAATGGGTTGATAATTGGATAGGTGACTTGAAATTTCCAACCATAGCAATGTATTCATTAATTAACTTGGTCATGAATCCAAAGCTTTACAGACAAATCCATTGATTAATAAATACTCATGCTTATAATTTATGATCATATATGCAAAGTTTTAGTTTGTCACACTATGGACCCTTTTCACATTTCCAAGGTTTTCAGAAACATCAGAAACTTGGGTAAAATTCTATAGTAGTGAACGGAAGCTACAACATATAACATTTTTTCCCATTTGCCCCAACAGCGAAAAAAAAAAAATCCACAAAAGCGTTTCTATGACTTCCCAAAATAAATATCAATTACGTTATTCAGAAGAGAGAAAGATGTCAAAATTGTCGAAACTCCCTCAGCTGTTATATTAGAAACACTTGCGCAAAACAAAGTAGTTATAAATACACAAAATATATATAAAAAAAAGATTAATTCACCCAGATATGTCAATTTATTGAAAATGTACTCACCCTTAGACCATCCAAGATGTAGATGAATTAGTTTCTTTATTGGAACAGATTTGTAGAAATTTACAGTATCATTATATCACTTGCTCATCAGTGGATCCTCTGTAGTGAATGGGTGCCGTCAGAATGACAGTCCAATAAAAGCATCACAATAATGCATAACTAACCCACAAGAATCCAGTCCATCAATTAATATCTTGTGAAGCGAAAAGTTGTGTGTTTATAATAAATGAATCTATCATTAAGTCATTTTAAACTACACTCTTAAAAAGTAAATACAGAGTTCTGGCATGAAACTCTAGATGGCGCAGTCCGATAGGTCTAACTCAATCTGACCTAATGACATCATTATCACATGGCACAGCTGATTGGTCTCTCCTGTATCGGTAGCCAATGAGCTCGCTGCTCAACATTCAAATATATGACTAGTGCTTGCCGTAACAGTTGCAGCTTGCTTCAGAAACCCTCCACCTTCCCCAGCTCCACCTGTATAGATCTGCTACGAGGTGATTAATGTATGCTATATGGGGGTTATTTCATGTATGTTATATTTGCAGCAGCAATATTTCTTACATGCTCACAGCAGCATGTTGTGGATGTATTGGCAGTAGCAAGTCTCGGTACTTGCTCTGCCGCAGCAGCAGTTAAAGAACAATCTCTTTCTCACCTTTTTATAATCTGAAGAACCTCAGTTCTTCAGATGTTAAAGGTTCTTTATGAAACCATTTAGACAAAAAAAGGTTCTTCTATGGCATCGTGAAGCACCTTTATTTTTAAGAGTGTATTACTTACAGCTAAAATACAAGTGAAAGTGAAATATTACAGTGGAAAAGTCATCTTGCCTGAATAAGGAGAAAAACATGCACAGATCAAGCAACATTTACAAACAAAAACAAAACGGTTCTCAACAAATATGTTGTTGGATTTTGATGTGAGAGACAACAGTGAATAGACCTTTTTTCCACTGGAGGAAGCATTATTACGGATTACGGACTGATATTTTGGTCACTATGGCATCGTGAAGCACCTTTATTTTTAAGAGTGTATTACTTACAGCTAAAATACTAGTGAAAGTGAAATATTACAGTGGAAAAGTCATCTTGCCTGAATAAGGAGAAAAACATGCACAGATCAAGCAACATTTACAAACAAAAACAAAACGGTTCTCAACAAATATGTTGTTGGATTTTGATGTGAGAGACAACAGTGAATAGACCTTTTTTCCACTGGAGGAAGCATTATTACGGATTACGGACTGATATTTTGGTCAGAAGTGATTTTGGCTTTAAAGTTAAAACACTTTAATGATAGACTTGTTTCTTACAAACACACAGCTTTTCACTTCACAAGATGTTAATTGATGGTCTGGAGTGGTGTGGATTACTTGTGGATTATTGTGATGCTTTTATCAGCTGTTTGCAGAGGTGGACAGTAATGAAGTACATTTACTCGAGTATTGTACTTAAGTACACATTTTGGGTATCTGTACTTTACATGAGTATTATTTTTTTCTGGAAACTTATGACTTTAACTTCACCACATTTGAAAAACAAATATCGTACTTTTCACTGCACTACATTTCTATCAAGGTCCTTGAAGTAGAAAGTCATTACTATAGCATTACTTTGAAAGTCAGTGGGTGATTTTTTCTTCTCTAAAAATGTGATTTTTTTTTGACAGCCTATCAGTAATCACTCTTCTAGGGTTACATGAAGTGATTTCCCATCATTTTTTGAATACTGGCCAGTTGCAAATGTGATATTTATTTACAACAATTCAATAATAATAAGATTAATATTGTGGTATATATTAGACACAATATTGTGATTTTGCAATGTTGTGTAAACGAAAATATTACCTATAAAGCCACAGAACAACTGTTGTGCATCTCCTAATAAAACACAGGTGTTTTA